GGCTGTGCGGCCTTGGCAGGGGGTCCCACTCCTTTCCACCTGGGTTTGAGTCTGGACCCAACCCTGGCCTGGGCGTCTTAATGGTTGGCATATCCAGGAAGTGCTGCTGGCACTGGTCGGAGCAAAGGCCTCGGCAGCTTGGGCCGCCTCCTTCCCCTTTTGCAGATGAAAGCTACGAAACCCGCTGGAAGCTGTTGTGAGCAGCTGCCAGGCCAGCTGGCCCAGACAAGCACCCGGTCCGGGGGATGGCCGCCTCCCTGGGTCCAGCTGCACATGGAATTTGGGACTCTTACGAGCACGGGGGAGCACTAGGCTGGAGTCTGGGAGGCAGTTTCTTAGGAGCGCGGGGGAAACTCACACACGGAAGTCGGGACTCTGAGAGCAGCGCAAGGCTGCCAGCACGCACGGGGGAAACTCCTTAAGGAAACTCTTGTGCAGCCGGTGGGAGGCTGCCTCGGCCCAGCCAACGGGAGGCGCCCACGTTGCCACAGCCCTTCCTCCATGGGTGTGGCAGCCCCAGGTCTGCGGTCAGCCCCCGCCCTCCACCCAGCCTGGCCAGACCCGTCTCTGAGGCCGGTCCCGGGTGCGCCTGTGGCCATGGACAGGGCAGGATCTCAGTTGCAGCAGCAGGCGCTGGTCCTGACCCCAGTCGTGCCACGGGGTGGGCGTGCACAGGTCTCCTGTCGGGGCGGGCAGAGAAGCCTTCCTGGCCGGCAGCCAAGCCTTGAGCAGGATGATGTCAGTGCCACCAGAGGCAGTGCCAGCCCCCAGCCCTGGCCCCTGAAGCCTCTCAGCAGAGGCGTGCTGCCCGCAGGGGGCCAGGCGGAAGGTCACTGAGGCCCCTCCAGCACCTAAAGCCCATGATTCTGGGGGACATATCTGGCAGTCCCCCTCACAGTCCCAGCACTCTCTTTCCCTCCTCGCTGAGGCCCCTGGAAGCTCTAGGGTGTGATTTCAGGTCACCAGCCCTCCTCCCTCTAGCCTGCTCCAGGCAGCCGTGCTCTCAGACATTTACAGCTGGGCCCAAAGCCTCTCCCAGCTGCCTGGTGGTGAGCAAAGGGCCCTGGCCCGAAAGCCACAGATGCTGGGCCTGGACTCTGAAGTGTCTTCAGAGGCAATGTCTGAAGAACCACCCACCTGGATCCCACCCCTACAACCTCTGGGTCCCAGCAGAGCCATCACCTGGGGTCCGGCCAGCGCACACGGGAGCCCCCTCTGGGTCTCAGCAGAGCATCACCTGGGGTCCGGCCAGCGCACACTGCAGCCCCCTCTGGGTCCCAGCAGAACCATCACCTGGGGTCCGGCCAACGCACACGGGAGCCCCCTCTGGGTCCCAGCAGAGCATCACCTGGGGTCCGGCCAGCACACACTGCAGCCACCTGCTTCCTACCTGTCCTTTTCAGATACGCTCAGGCCCATCAGCAGAGACCAGCAGACCCCAGCTGCCCCTCCGGGGGGACAGACACCTCTCCTTCCCAAATCCCCAGTGCTGGCACTGCCCCAGGGAGCCTCACAGCGGCTTCTGGCCGTGTTACCCGTGAGGCCAACCCGCTGGGAGGCAGTGCAGCCTGGAAGGAAGCCAGACGCTTCTATCAGACCAGCTGTGCTTCACTCTCCCTGCCCCGCACAGATGTCCACCGACCAGGACTGGGGTGGGTGCTGAACACGATTTGTGGGAGATGCCTCCTGAGCACGGGTAGCCGGCAGACAGGGTCCTCGGATCTCAGACCCCAGCGCTGCCCTGGGCAGGATGCTTCAAACGAGCCTCCGGTTAAGACGGGAACTTGCCTCCAGGGTCAGCATCCCACCTGTCCCACACAGGTGGCCCTCTCTTGGCTGCAAGCACAAGCCACATGCAGACGCTGCTTTAGCAGTCGGCCTCAGCCTCTGAGCTTCTCTGCCACAGCATGATCTGTCCCAAAGGCAAAGAACAGGGTGGAGACCCACAGGGCAAGAAAAGACTCAGCAGCTTGATTTCAGGAGACCCTAGACACTGCCTCTGAAGACACTTGTTCTCCAAGGGCTGTTCCTCATCCGTGAAAAGCGATATCTGGCTTTGGAAACCATGATCCCCTGTGCAGACGAAGCCTCTGAGAGTTCCCAGCAGCCCAGGAGGACATCTGTTGTGCGCGAGAAAAGCCCTAGACACAAAATCAGAGCGGCATCTACAGTCCTTTGGCATCAGAGAAGGCTGTTTGCATCCAGTGTCCCACAGGGCGTCTGTCCCAGGACGTGACATCCAGTCCCAGGCTGTTTGCATCCAATGTCCTGCAGCGTCAGGCTCCACAGATGCCTCAGACGGCACATCCCACCTGCCTGCTCAGGCCCCACTGCTACAGACTGAACTGTGTCCCCCAAAACCCACAGGTTAGAGCCCTAACCCCCACTATGAAGGTATTAGAAGGTGGGGCCTCCGGGAGGTGATCAGGTTCAGATGAGGTCATAAGTGCAAAGCCCCGGTGACGGGGTTAGTACTCCTGGAAAAGACACCACAGAGCTCTCGCTCCCCGAGGTGAGAACGCCGCAAGAGGGCCCGTCTACAAGCCAGGAGGCTGGATGGCAACCAGTGACCTTTGACCTGGGACGTCCAGCCCCTAGAACTCTGAGAAAATTAATTTCTGTTAAGTTTTTTCCCAGCACCAGTGAGGCACGGTGGGAGAAGACTACTCGCCCACAGCCCCAGCTACTCAGGAGAGGCTGAGGTAGGAGAATTGTCTGAGGTCTGGAGTTTAAGACCAGCCTGGGCAACTTAGCGAGATCTCATTTTCTTTTTTTTTGTTTGCGACAGAGTGTCACTCTGTCGCCCAGGCTGGAGTGCCACAGCATGATCTCAGCTCACTGCAATCTCCCCCACCCCGGTGTCCAAGCGATTCTCCTGCCTCAGCCTCCTGAGTA